CCCCCCCGCAAATATTCAGTGAATAGTGTACTCGACAAAAGCATTCATAAAAGCAAAATCCTCAAATGATTTTGCAAGGGGCTGTTACTCAACTGGGTATATAAATCCTGGCATTTGTAGTTAGTTCAGAGTTTGTTCTATCTTATGCACTTATTAAAGAACACTTAACCACCTTTGGATACTAAAATTATTTTTATATTTTGTATTAGAGAATTGAAAATATTGCCAGGGGCCATGATTCTGTTTTCCCTACAATCCCAATCCTGCTCAGTCAGTCTCCTTTCCTGCGCTGGATCCAACTTTCAGATAACCACCACGGAATCACTCTGAGGAGTAAAAAGATTGACATTTTTGGTTGACAAACACGGATTTAAACCTTGCTATCAGGCCTCAGAACAATTTCTGTGGGCCTCAAAGCCCTCATCTGTAAAGCAGAATTACACATTCTGAGCCATTTCCTAGAATTGTTGAGAGTCTGGAGCAGCAGTTCTCAACCTGTGGGTCGTGGCCTCTTTGGGATTGAATGACCCTTTCACAGGGGTTCCCGATTCATAACAGTAGCAAAATTACAGTTAGGAAGTAGCAACGAAAATAATTTTATGGTTGGGGTTCACCGCAGCAAGAGGAACTGTATGAAAGGGTCGTGGCATTAGGAAGGTTGAGAACCACTGGTCTAGAGGGAAGAAGGGTGGAAATTGCCCTTCCTAGGACAGGGCCCCTAGTAATCAATGAATCAATTGTAAAATAAAATCAATTACTCTGATGTTGACCCTGACTCCTGGTGTCTCTAATTTGTCGGTATAGCACCAGGCTCCAGAAGACTTAACGGCTGTCTTTTTGGAAGTCGGTTGTCAGGCCTTTGTTCAGCGGCACCACTGGGTAGACTAGAACCTTGGTGTTCTGGTGCGGGGCTGCTGGAGCACACGCACAGTGTGGCTTCACGGAGTGCACAGCAGCGACTGCTGTGAACTGATTTGACTTTCCTGATGAGACTTCTCCTTGCCCTTTGAGGGATCTCCTTGATGGATCTCTTCCTCCTGCCTTACAAGGAAGGAGCACATTTCCTGATGTTTATTCATTCAGAACAACAACAACAACCAAAAAAACCCCACAGTCATCATGTCCATTCCAGCGCACAGCAGCTCCATAGCGCTTGGTCATTAGGAAGACAGACACTCCTTCAAAACCTATCTCCTGACTGGTTCAGTCTGCAAACTTTTCTGAGGTCAGTCAAGGTCAAGGGACTCACACTTGGTATAAAAATTACTCCTTTCTGTGTTCTTTTTTTGTTTGTTCTTTTTTAACTGAAAGTATGTTTCATTCTTTTATTTTTTTAAACATTTTATTAGGGGCTCATACAACTGTTATCCCAATCCATACACACATCAATTGTGTAAAGTGCATTTGTACATCATTCTCAAAACATTTTCT